AAAATTAATATTTTCGAAGTCTGAAAACTGATTTGGAACTGTCTAATCCTGCTCTTTAAAACCAAGTACATCATGGCCCAGGTTTCTCTGATTTTGGATTTCTAGGCCACCAAAATCAAAAGTTAGGAATATGGCTCGAAATCGTCCATTTTCCGGTCAAAAATGGCTCATTTTGAAGCTAGAAACCTCTGTTTCATCCCGAAAATCACCCAAAAAAAGGGGACCAACCTATACTGATCCTTGTGTTGCAAATCCCTCTTCCTCTCCGTTGATAGTACATGTTCTTCGTGCGATATTCTCTGATTTTTCTCCTGTAGCACAGACGCCGGTGGTACCATTGATCCGCTGCCGCCACCCGGCGATTTCCGTTTGGCTTGTGATTTTACAGTATCCGCCAGCTCGACGAGATAATCAATGCATTCCTTATCAGCTACGCCCAGTACGTCGATACCCTGCAAAAATTTGATCGTGGTCTAGAAAATCCAAAAGGCTAGGTCATGGCCTAGAAATCAAGAAAAATTAGGTCATGGCCTAGAAATCTAAAAATGGCCTCGAAATCCAAAAAAACAGGTCATGACCTAGAAATCCGCTGATGGCCTAGAAATTTAAAATTGACCTAGAAAATCCAAAAAACTAGGTCATGGCCTAGAATTCCAAATTTGGCCTAGAAATCCAAATGTGGCCTAGAAAACCAAATATGGCCTATGAATCCAGAAAAACTAGGCCATGACCTAGAAATCCACTGATGGCCTAGAAATCCAATTTTGGCTCATTTTCAGCCGATGTTTTCGAATTTTAGCTCATTTTCAGCGGATTTTCAGCCATTTTCAGTAAAAACCCCAACCGTAAACGTGAGATCCGACAGCTCGGCCCCATTTTCCAGCAATATTTTACAAGCGTCTCGTTCGGCCCAATGTGACGCTGCATGCAGTGGGGTCCATCCCTCTTTGTCCTGGGCTCGAACGTTTCCACCGGCTTTGATGAGCAATTCGAGTAGTTGGGTGTAGCCACGACCGGCGGCGACGTGCATTGCGGTTCCGCCTGGAATTAGGTGTCAAAAATCGATAAAAAATCATTAGAATTGATCCGAAAATCATGAAAAATGAGTCAAAAATCATGAAAACTTGATTTTCTGAGCATTTTCAGATCGATGTTTCAGAATTTCTGGAGCAGTTTTCTATAATTTTCCAGTCGAAAGTGTAAAAAATCGACTCAAAAATGCATATTCTTTATGATTTTTCAGATCAATTTTCATGATTTTTGGGTAATTTTGGACCTATTTTCATGATTTTTGAGTCATTTTTAATGATTTTTTGGGTCATTTTTCATCATTTTTGGTCCATTTTTTTTGATTTTTGAATCAAAATTCATGATTTTTGGATCATTTTTCATGATTTTTGGTCCATTTTTTTTGATTTTTGAATCAAAATTCATGATTTTTGGACTCATTTTTCATGATTTTTGGACCATTTTTCATGATTTTCGTGTCGATTTTCATGAATTTTGGCTCGATTTCTATGATTTTTGGTTCAATTTTTCGCGATTTTTAGCCATTTTTCCGCCACAAACCTGTTCTGTGATGTGGCACATCTCTGTATTCCCCCTGACTAATCCACATCTTCACATCCTTCAACATCGTCGCCAGCTCCTGCTCTCGACACGCCTCCAAATCGATCATTTGTCGTTTGTAGTCGTCTTCCAGGTACTCTCGACATTGCTCATCCACTGCCAAATCCAGCGCTAGCTCCTTATCACTGTTAACCACTGATAAGTCGGCGCCATGCTGACACAGATATCGAACGATGGAGACGTTTCCACAGCAGGCGGCCGCGTGGAGGGGCGTCCATCCTTCGTTGTCCTGAGCGTTCACGTCGGCTCCCTTCTCGCACAGGAATCGGACCATTTCCGGTTTGGAATCGATCACGGACTGCAAATTGTAAGCTATACAGTAGTCCGAGAAACGACAGCTACAGTACTTTTTATTGGAATTCCTTACACCAAAATTGTGGTTGAAATAGGCTAAAATACCCGGAAATCGTGCGGTTTGGACAAACTTAAAAACTCAAAAAATGGCAAAATTTGATCATTTTTGATTCTCTGAATTTTGCTGGTTTTTGGCTTACTGTAGTCATTTTTTTCAGGATTTTTTATTTTCTAGCAATTTTCGGACTTTCCGGAAATTTGGAATTTTTCATAGTTTTTTGGTGGGTTACTGTAGTTGCTAGAAAACCCAAAAATTCCAGAAAATTCTCAAAATTTGAAAAATCTCAAAATTTGAAAAATCTCAAAATTTGAAAATTCTCAAAATTTGAAAAATCTCAAAATTTGAAAAATCTCAAAATTTGAAAATTCTCAAAATTTGAAAAATCTCAAAATTTGAAAAATCTCAAAGTTTGAAAAATCTCAAAATTTGAAAAATCTCAAAATTTGAAAAATCTCAAAATTTGAAAAATCTCAAAATTTGAAAATTCTCAAAATTTGAAAATTCTCAAAATTTGAAAAATCTCAAAATTTGAAAAATCTCAAAATTTGAAAAATCTGCAAAGTTTGAAAATTCTCAAAATTTGAAAAATCTCAAAATTTGAAAAATCTCAAAATTTGAAAATTCTCAAAATTTGAAAAATCTCAAAATTTGAAAAATCTCAAAATTTGAAAAATCTCAAAATTTGAAAAATCTCAAAATTTGAAAATTCTCAAAATTTGAAAAATCTCAAAATTTGAAAAATCTCAAAATTTGAAAAATCTCAAAATTTGAAAAATCTCAAAATTTGAAAAATCTCAAAATTTGAAAAATCTCAAAATTTGAAAAATCTCAAAATTTGAAAAATCTCAAAATTTGAAAATTCTCAAAATTTGAAAAATCTCAAAATTTGAAAAATCTCAAAATTTGAAAAATCTCAAAATTTGAAAAATCTCAAAATTTGAAAAATCTCAAAATTTGAAAATTCTCAAAATTTGAAAATTCTCAAAATTTGAAAATTCTCAAAATTTGAAAATTCTCAAAATTCGAAAAAACATGTATTCATGGGTATTACTGTAGCTTTTAGAAAACGCTGATTTTTTTCAGAATTTTTCAGGCTAATTTTTAGTCTAATTTCAGCAAGAATCCTCAACTACAGTAATCCCTTCATTAAGCCCCTTTTCTACAGTAATCTTCTAATGACTACAGTAACCCTTAAAATTTCAGAAAAAAAATTTTCAAGAAATTCGAATTTTTGCTGAAAAAATTTAGAATTTTCAGAATTTTAAATTTTGCTAATTTTCAAAACTTTCTAAATTTCCGAATTTTTCAAAATTTCCAACCCCAAATGCTCACCTGATGAAGTGCTGTGAGCCCGTCTACTGTACACGTATTGATGTCGGCTCCTTTGAGCAACAACTCCTCAACCTCCTCCTCGTCGCCAGACATACACGCCGACAGGAATATGTCGCTATCCTGGAATTGTACTTTCGGCCGCTTCATGCGGCGAGCCGGCTCCGCGTTCATCTCGCTGCTCTGCCAACGACGAAGTTGATCCTGAAGATAGAGAGAGAATTAAGGATGAGCAATCGGTTGGGAAAATTGGAAAAATCTGGAGAAATTCGAAATTATAGATCAATTTTAGAGTTTTCGAGCCGATTTGAAAAACGGGGGGATTTTTTGAAATTTTTGAAAATTTCAAAAATTTTTGGATTCTTAGGGTTTTTAGGCTTACAGAATCTCAGAAATTCAGAATCACAAAACCTCAGAATTACAGAATTTCGGAATTACAGAATCTCTGAATCTCAGAATCTCAGAATTTCAGAATCTCAGAATTTCAGAAATTCAGAAATTCAGAATCTCAGAACCTCAGAATCTCAGAATTTCAGAAATTTAGAATCTCAGAATTTCTGAATTTTAGAATCTCAGAATCTCAGAACTCCAGAATTTCAGAATCGCAGAATTCCAGAATTTCAGAATTCCAGAATCTCAGAACCTCAGAATCTCAGAATTTCAGAATATTAGAATCTCAGAATCTCAGAAATTCAGAATCTCAGAATCTCAGAATCTCAGAACATCAGATTCTCAGAATCTCAGAATTTCAGAAATTTAGAATCTCAGGATTTCTGAATTTCAGAATTTCAGAATTTTAGAATCTCAAAGTCTCAGAATCTCAGAATCTCAAAGTCTCAGAAATTCAGAATTTCTGAATTTCAGAATTTCAGAATTTCAGAATTTTAGAATTTCAGAATTTCTGAATTCCTGAATTTCAGAATTTTAGAATCTCAGAATCTTAGAATCTCAGAATCTCAAAGTCTCAAAATTTCAGAATCTCAGAATCTCAGAAATTCAGAATTTCAGAATTTTGGAATTGCAGACTTTCTTTTTTGTGAATTTTGGATCTTGAGAATTTCAGACTTTCCGATTTTCAGATTTATCAATTTTCGAAATTTCAGAACTCCGGAATCTTAGATTTTTATTTGGGGTTTTTTTTTAATTTTCAGATTTTCCAAATTTTTAGAAAATCTAAAAACTTAAAATTGGATCATTTTTAGCCAAAATTGAGATTTCCATTGTCAGAATACCGATTTTTTTCGAAATTCTGCGATTCAGAAAATCCAAAAAAAAAGGATCAAAATTTTAAAAAATTCAGAAAATCGAAAATTTCGGAATTTCGGATTTTTCGGAAGTTTTCAGAATTTCCAAAATCAAAAATTTACGATTTTTGGCTTAAATTAATTAATTTTCTGGGAATTTTGTAAACTGTAAATTCTACTAGGAACAAAAGAAAGAAAAAGAAAAAAAACCAAAAATCTCAAAAATCATTGTTTGCCGCCACCACCTCCCAAGCCAAAGCGTAATTCTTTTTATCTATTTGCACATCTGATTAACACAAATCAAACGATTTTGGATTCCTGGCGGGCCAAGGATGAAACCTGTATTAGAAGGGCCCCCTTCAAAATGTGAAAAAAAAACAATTTTTAAAAATCTTCAAATTTCGATTTTTGGGGATTTTAGGAAAAAACCCTCCATTTCAAAAAATCTGAAAATTTCGAAAATTCGAATTTCAAATTTTTTGCAAAAAATCACCATTTTTGGAGCCTTTTTGAGTTTTTAAAACAAAAAAAAGCGAAATTTTAAATTTTTGCTGCAATTTCTGAAAAAGAAACAAAATTTCAAATTTTCCGAAAATAGGAAATTTTGAAAAATCTTGAAATTGTCAGAATTTCGATTTTTTGAATAATAAACTTTTTTTTCTAAAAATGTATGAAATTCTCCAAATTTCATTCATTTTTTGAAACATTTCAAGCCAAAATTCATCTCAATTTGGACCAATTTTCCATTGAAACTGCCTCAAAATTTGTCTGAAATTTGTTAAATTTCAGGCATCAGGAGTTCAGAAATTCAGAAATTCAGAAATTGAGAAATTGAGAAATTCAGAAATTCCAAAATTCAGAAATTCAGAAATTCAGAAATTCAGAAATTCAAAAATTCCAAAATTCAGAAATTTAGTAATTTAGAAATTCAGAAATTCAGTAATTTAGAAATTCAAAAATTCAAAAATTCAGAAGTTCAGAAATTCAGAAATCCAGAAATTCAGAAATTCAGAAATTCCAAAATTCAGAAATTCAGAAATTCCAAAATTCAGAAATTCAGAAGTTCATAAATTCAGAAATTCAGAAATTCAGAAATTTAGAAATTCAAAAATTCAGAAATTCAGTAATTTAGAAATTCAGAAATTCCAAAATTTAGAAATTCAGAAATTCAAAAATTCAGAAGTTCAGAAATTCAGAAATCCAGAAATTCAGAAATTCAGAAATTTAGAAATTCAGAAATTCAGAAATCCAGAAATTCAGAAATTCGGAAATTCAGCAATTCAGAAGTTCAGAAATTCAGAAATTCAGAAATTCATAAATTCAGAAATTCAGAAATTCAGAAATTCAGAAATTCAGAAATTCAGAAATTCAGAAATTCAGAAATTCAGAAATTTAGAAATTCAGAAATCCGAGAAATTCAGCAATCCAGAAATTCAAAAATTAAGAAATTCGGAAATT